CTGCTGTGCACTGCACTAGAGCGCTCCACTGCCGATTGTGCCAGCACTGGAGCAGGTCACCTTGGCTACTGAGATGTGACAATGATGATCTAGTACAGAATTCATAAATGTCACAAGGAGCAGACCCAGAACCCCATTTAAGTGCCTTAAGGTTAGAGTAAGCATCCTTTTAGCATGTTTTCTAGTGACCCCGTTACTCTTTAGGTTCCTGCTTGCACAGTGCCTATCAACACAAGAAGAAAAATTTACTTTCATCCAGGATTGCCTGCAACATAATAGCAAACGGACTGCAGTGACAAAGGTGTAATTTCCATCTCCTTCAGAAGCCAAGCGGAGTTTAAAGCTTAGATCTCCTACTTCCTGCCTGATTTTTGGGACTTCTGCAAATGCTACCATAGCTGTCAATGAAGTGAGTCATGACCCTCATAGGTTAAACTCTTGGGCTTCTCCAAAGATGTTAGGTAGTAGTTAGGCAGCAGAGTATAATGGAGCTCTGCTCGCGTGATATGGAATCTATCTCCCTCAGGTTATCACTTTTGAGTGTAAATTGTCAACTGAAATCGTCAAAGAGCTTTCAGGCTAGGTAGAAAAGTGTCTGAAAGATTTGACAAAGAGGACAACTGTACTGCTGCTAGAGACACAGGTGAATTTAGGATTTTTAGGTTTCTTCCCCCAAATAAGTGACATATTTCTCTTTTTGTATGGTTCAATAAGACATCACAAGGAAACATATTTCTTTGCTGGACTTTTTTGTTCAGCGGCAAAATTTGCCAGTGTGCAAATACCAGACCAGATGGCAACTTTAACACCATGAAGCTAGTTAACATTCCTCCAATACCCCACCAAATAAAAAGATTGTCATCAGTTACTGAAACCGCTAAAAATCAATCAGTCTTACTGGTCATCAGTTGTTATTAATGAAAAAACTGTCTTAAATCAACCGACCTGAAATACAGATGAATCCAGAAGAGAAAAAGGCCTCGTTGTATGAAGACAAGTTATCTGTTTGGGCATAAACTGCATAAATGGACATATGAGAACAAGAGCACTCCACATAGTCTGATGTGTCATCAACCACTTTGCAGAACCCGCTATCTGACAGCCAGCTGCAAAACAAAAGATTCACAGAGTTGGAAATGGACTTGTGTAATTTACATGGTAAGCAGGCTTGAAAATTGTTGTATCTCTGAAATACCAAGTTTTCTAAACTACTGCATAGGTGTTTTGTGTAATCTTTCAGGTGCAATTCTCAGAATAGCACATTTACATGAAATTAAAATATTGTTTATGGCTTTTTTTTACTTTTATGATTAAAAAAATTTCTAAATATATGATAATGAACATTTTTTTCCACTAGAGAATTTTTGTGGCCATGTTTTTAAAACTTCTGCAAGATTTACAGGTCTGTCTGACTTTTCAAATAGTTTATTAACTTGCACAATAACTTAACCCTTTATGGAGAACACTTCATTTTATACTGCTATTTGTTGTTTTGAAACTAAAATTCATGTTTTGTTTTCTTTCAGTATTGCTGAACTGATTTTGAATAGGATACTACAGGTGACATCCTAAGCCATTACTACTGGAAATCATGTCTGCTCTGTGATATAGTGTCTAGATAAAAGGAGAGCATACAGGTAAATTCTGCTGCATCTCCTTTCGGAAGAGAAATAGTTTGTATCAGTGATGGACTGATATAATCCAGTCAGTCTAATGAAATCATATTTAAACCAAATAGATCTCAGCAGGATACAGAACATAATTCTCTCCAAATTCATTTATACTGTGCGAACAGGAAAGACACAGACTAATCAAATAATGGGGCATTGAAGAGCATACACAGAAAACGTCATTCCACAGTTTGTAATGGTATGAGCAGCAACAAGAATGGAAAATGATCAGCAGTTCACCATTTCTTCTAAAAACCAGGAGACGTCAACTTAAGCTAGTAGCAGCAATATTAAAAAAAAACAAACAACAGGAGATGGCTTTTCTGTCAAAAAGAAATAGCCCTATAGAGAACATTGTCAAAAGTTGTGCTAAAATTCTGGATGGTGCAAGGAAGGACTAGGTAAGTTTGTGGCAGACAAATCATTTAATGGCTTTAAACTAAAGGAAGGTAGATTCAGACTAGATATAAGGAAGACATTTTTTATGCTGAGGGTGGTGAAGCACTGGCCCAGGTTGCCCAGAGAGGTGGTGGATGCCCCATCCCTGGAAACATTCCAGGTCAGGTTGGACGGGGCTCTGAGCAACCTGATCTAGTGGAAGATGTCCCTGCCCATGGCAGGGGGTTGGACTAGATGACCTTTAAAGGTCCCTTCCAACCCAAGCCATTCTGTGATTCTATGATTCTATGAAATACACAAAATCACATTCAGCTCACAGAGTCACTGGAGAGTATAGTATTAGGGGACCTACTATTTATACTTGTCCTGATCTTACCCTTCCCTGGGCATTTACTTTTAGCCACTACTGGAGACAGGATACCGGTCTAGATAAAACCCTAGTGTACCCCTTAACAAGCTTTTTTGGTTCACTTACACAGTGTCTTTCACAGACCCAAAAAAAGAGTAGGTATTAGCAAATTAGGAACATTCTGAGACAGTGACTTGAAGCAATACCAGAGATGCAGGTTTAATTCTTTACTTTTGTAAGAATGGACTTGAAGTGTTATCTGATAACAACTGTAGAGAGTACAAAGTCATTAATATTAATGAAGTGACGCAGTCCTGGGATTTATGGCCTGTCAGCATTGCCTAACACATTATTACATAATTTATATGGTATTTTGGTGAAAAAAGTCAAGAGTTGAAGTCTGAGAAATGTCTGAGCTAGAATAACTCCACATTTTATTATATTGAAAGTTTTATGTGCTGGTACAAAGGCCAGAAAAGTTAAGAAAAAATGACAGACAGGAAATGGATCGATTTTATACTTGCAAATGATCTAATTGGAGTTATCACATCTTAGGCAAATACACAGGTTCACAGTAGAAACCGGAAAACTAAACAGATTAATAAAATAACCTTTCAGCAGCTTGATTCCAGAGGAGACATAGAGACTTTCGTGGAACAATCCGACTTCCTGCAGGATAAATCCGATAAATCACTTCATTGTTATCTTTCAAAGGGTGTGAACTCCGACCCTTCAAACTCATAGAAAAAACCTGAAACAACACATACAACGTAAATACAAGTCAGTGCTATTTTAATCAGACACACACACAAAAATGTTCACATTATTTTAAATACAAGCAAAATAAAAATTAAACTAATTTATTGAAAAAATAAATTGCATTATCTTCAAACCTTATTCTTCAGGGCAAGTTCTGTATCTCCAGTAAGGAACCACTGCTGACTGCTGTATTCTGTGAACTGTACAGATTCACAGTTCTCTTCTTGAGGAGGTGATAATACAACAGAGACCTCTAGTAAACGTTCAGGTACTTGAATAGAATCCCCATCTTTTCCATCAAATCTGTGTCCATTGATTTGCTGAGGAAACCAGTTGTGAGCCATTATTGCAATGTACGGGCAGCTGTCAAGGATATTTTTACCTCTGTTGAAATGAAAAAGCAATAGGGCTGGTAAGTGGAACTGAGCTTTTACTATTCTTCACAGAATGACTCTAAAACGTATTTGTAATTAATACTTTATTCCTCCATCATTTTTAGGCTTTATGACATTTAATAGACAGACAGTTTCAGTTTCTGTGAAAAAAGGGGGGCTGAATTGTTATGTACTTCAGCTTCTCCATTTCCCCTCTGGGTTTTGCTCACTATGATCTGCAACCAAAACCTCTCCATGGTAAACTAGGTTATCATAATACTCATCTTTATAACTTGATGCAGAGATGAGTCTACAAGGAGAGGCATTCAAATGGATGACCTTGCTTTACCTCTTATTCCCAACAAATGATGAAAAAAAACTTGGAATAAAGAATTTGAACTTTCAAGTTCTGGGCACTGTTCAGGATAGTGCTGATATTTATGCCATTTACTGTCTTTTGGCTGAGATGGGCTTCATACATACCTGCCTACAACTCAGGAAATGGCAAGAAAAGTTACATCTCCAAAAGAAGTTGAGATAGAAATCTCAACCGTGCTGATTTTCTGAGGGAAAAAAAGGTAGGTTTTTTCCTAAATTCAACTACCAGTTGTTTAATAGATTCACAGTGGGAGAAACCCACTATTTAAAATGATCTGTCTCATAAAAGAGTGTCATCTATTTCTGCAGTCACCTATTTCCCCTGCCCATTAGCCTGACCACAGGGTATTATGCACTTGCAGACAAAACTAGCAATTTGAAACTACATGTAAAAACTATGAGTAGCTTTTAAAAAATTTTAAATAATGTTCAAGTGAGCAAAACCAAGCACACAGAAATTACAAAATGCCAGTAGAAATTTTGGGTTACTTACTCTCATCTAAGCCTTAGAACATAGCTCTCCATCATACAATTACATATTATTTTCTTAGTAAGGTTAATGAATCCTTTTCCAGGCAATATTTGAGCTAAAAGGTGAATTAATATGTCACAGATCTCCTGACACCTACTCTCACAGCTACCCCATATCAGTGTACCAGTTATTTGTGACACCAGCTCACAGTGCCAATATAGTGCTTCATAAGATTGTGACAGAGCACAACACATTTTCATATAGGTAATGTATCAGATGAGAGACAAGTTCCTTTTCTAAAAATGTAATTTAAATTTTTACTCTATTGGTAAGTTGTTACATATTTCCAAAACATATTATGAATTCAAGTTTACTAACCTTTCTCCTGGCGATCCACACATTATCCCAGTCAACAGGGAAAAAGCAAACTTCTCAGTCACCTCAGCAAGCAGGCTATATCCTCGTGTGTCCTCGCGTTTCGGGCTAGCCAGAGCACAGAGTATCTCATAGAAAAGACTTCTACTTTTATCAGTGAGTAACTGTTTTTCACCTACATCTGTAACCTAATAGGAGGAGAAGAAATCAAACAGCATTTTATGCACAGAAGTCTGCTTATAACATTTCCTCATAAAATGAACATTTCATGCCAACGTTCAGTCTGGAAGTTCAGAATATTTTTTTCCACCTTCCGATCACCGCTGCCAAGGCGTGAGGCGCAGTCTATGTCACAACTACGTAAAGATGTGTTTACTAATAGGGACTTGATTACTAAAGAAACCATGTGGCATTTTTCATTCTTTCGCAAATCCAAGATGGTTGAGTCCTGAGATTTTTTGACATTGTTTTCTCTATTTTCTTTGTCAAAATGGCAACAATCACAACTGAACTGTTGTTCATGAATATTGTTATACTGCTTTGTGTCTAGGTATTTAAACACTTTCCAGCTCCTGTGCATTATTCCACCAGTCCAGAAAAGCCAGAAAGCCATAACACTAGTCCCAGAGTTTTCATAGAGCTTAGCAGAATGCTGAAGTGCTCAGCTACCCTGCCAACCCGATTCCCAAAGCCACTGCAGGAAAAAAGACAAGCTGCATGCCTGGTTAAGAGCACAGCAGACTCCAGCTGGCCCTGGTAGGATTTGCTTGTGTGTTGACTGCAGTCAGCTGTGAAGATATGAGTAAACCTTGGGCCTCACTCTCTTATGCCAGGGCTAAAACCAACAAAGATATGGCCTGAGAATCAAGAAACTATAATAAGCTCTATGAAAGTATGACATCAAAGGGAAAAATTTGCACAGCAGAAAATCTTGAGCTGTAGGTACATATGCAAAATTAACACTGGTTGCTCCTTTCAACCTATTTGATTTTTGATTGCCTGCCACCATCCTAACTAGTGGCAGACAAACTTCTTCCTTGATTGTGGGACTTCACAACTTCTATTTTTACCTTTGCAGTCTGTGTCCCTGAGTCACTGCTGTGGATGCTAACCTTGATCTTATCACAGGCCTGCGTGTTATTATACTCTTATTAAAGTCACTGGCCATTCAAGAAAGAGCAGGAAAGGTTTACCTTATCTATTATATGCATCACAGCAGTGAGCTGCTCTTCTGTAGTTTCTGTAGCCACTCTGACATTCAGATTCTGGAGGACTCTGTGTAAAATGGTGTCATCAAGAGGCTGATGCAGTTGATCAATCAGCCCCCAAACCGGCAAGGAGTCCAAATCTGAGACAATGGTGACGTTAGCAATACCATACATGTCATCTACTCTGGCACCGCCTGTGGGATTAGAAAGTACAACCTGGAAACGTTTAGGAAATGGGTTTAAAGATCCTGTCTTGGGAGTCAGGGTCACATCCAGAAACTTATTTCTCTGTCCAGGTTCAAAAGTCAATAAACCTTCAGATCTGGCAAAATCTTGTCCTGCCACAGCTGGAGATATGAAGGTCCGACCAATAGATTCAGGTTTTTGTAGCTCCTTAAAACAAACCAAAAGAGTTTTAGGTAACATTATGATAGATACAATTGTTCAAAACCAGCTGCTGTAGAACATACATACTTTAAATAGGTAAAATTTAAATGTGTAAAAAAGAAGTCCCCTTTCAAAATGCAGTTAAGAATGATATAACAATTACATTAAATGAAATATGTCCCTGAAATAGCAATCTGTCACCTGTGGTTAGTGACAACCTAGGGGAAGAATTACATATATTGCCAATAGTAAACAGGATCCCTCTCTTTTTTTTCCAGAAAAAAATTCACAAAGCTTTTCTGGGTGAACAGATATTACAGAAATGTTAGCACATCCGTAGGGTGAATTCCGGAGGGGTTGATATAAGTTTACGTCTGCAGCATGAAGTCCCCCAATTCAGGGTACAGACAGGAATTACAGATACATAAAAGCCAAACAAAAGCCAAGCAAAGGTTTTAGAAATCTGTGCCCAAGCTAATATCAATTCATGATATTTTCAGTCCCAGTATAAACACTTAAAAGAGGAACAATCCATTTAGGTCCAAAGGCAAAGCAAACACTATAGAATACACATGCAAGGCAGACAGATGAACTTATCTAGGAATGCTATATGGCCTCATTTCCCTGTGAAGTAGCACTATTTTTACCTTCCATGAGGTTTGCAGATACTGTTTCATTCTTCACATTCTTGCTCTTTTTGTCAGTTGCCATAACCTTGATATTATATCTGGTAATATAATAAACTTTCCTTAAGTGGAAACTAGCATTCTGGGCTATATTCAAATGTATGATTTTTCAATAGTAACTATTGATTTAATAAGTACAGATTGTATACCGACTCTTAAGTAATCTTGAAAAGGTCTCCTACTGTAAAAAACAAGGATTTTTATTTGTGAAGTACTAGACCCCTTTTGAAAACATTTAGTTTTAACTAGTAAAGTTTACTTATAGAATAAATCAGACATCTTTTGAGTTTGCAGGAGAACGTTGTAAATCATTGTAGTGTCTACCTGTTCAGAATTGCTCTAGAACAGGATCACATCATCTGTGCAAATTCCAGTGAGAAGTTTCCTTTTGTTCATCCCTTCCAGTTGAGAATGAGGGAACAGGGAAATAAGTGGTAATAAAAGCACTAGTGACACGAACAATGTTTAAGAAACCTTTGTAGGAATGAGATAAACGTCTGTTCCAGTTAGTGCCTCACACTTTCTGTCTGCTGTGACCTCTTATTTTACAGGTACCAACAGTGCCAATACTTTGGTACTTGGCCATCCACCCTCAAAACCTAGAAATGTCCAAAGAAGGGTTGCTATATAAAAAATAAACGGATAAGGAATTGCCCCCTATATTTTAGCCTAAATATACACTGGGCAGTAGCAATTTCTTCTCCATTAAACAGCTAAATTATAATGAACTCTTGGCTGGAAAGAATGTGAAAATTTGTTACCACACAACCTAACTAAAACACTGGCCAGCTACTGTATAATAAATGCACGGAAACACCATGGAATCCTATGCATGCATAAAATACATATGCATGCAATATAACAATAGAATGCAATGTCTTTTATTATAAAGGGTGATGGAAGTACACTGGTCACACAATGCTTTGTTATAATAACCCTCCCCCGAAATAATGCTTTTAGGTATAAAATCCCTCACATTCAAAGTAGATCAGGCTAAGCACTATTCCAATGCGATGGCAAACCTAGAGGAATCCCTCTTGCAGCCTGTGCCCTGATGTTGGAATTGCAACTATAAGGAAGTGGAAGGAATAATGTTTTTGCAGCTGTGTTACTTCTGCTAAAGAGGAATCTTCATCATCTGTCAATACTACTGAGGTACTCATTTAGAGATAAAAGGGCCAACAGTTAGAAGAGTCTGGAATTACAGCTGTAAGCATAACAAAAATGAATGGAGATAATAAAATTGACTTTAGCACATGAGATTTTCAATCAGAACAATTTTCAAGTTTAGTACTTCAAGAACATGCAATAAAATTTGATGAAAGTTCTCTCTCTCTTTTCCTAAGTGTGCTCTGTGTATTAATAAATTTGTGACCTAGGACAGCAAGTTTGTTGGTATCTGAATCTTGTAGTCATACCCATCATGATAAAAACTTGATTTCAGAGAAAGAAGCCTCAAAAATTGGAGTCTCATAAGAAACTTAGGACAAAGAAAGAAATGTATTTAATGCCTGACTGACTGTAGTCTTTGAGGCTACTGGAAGGTACTACGAACAAAATCACTCTTGACAATGCAGTGAAAACAAGGTCTTTTTACTAATGGAAAACCAAAGAAGCTAGACCATTTGGGCCCAGCAAATGTTTGACTATTTCCTGAAATATGCTAATTACAGTCACATTTACTTTAGAGAATGAATAATGATTTAATGATAAAAATAATACTAAAAATAAGTTAAATAATAAAAATAATAAAAAAAGTCTTACCTGCATGCTGTAGCTAACCATTGTGGTTACTGATGTACTAGAATCTCTAAGCACTTGCAGACTGATTAAATTTGTCTTCTTGTGAGCCACCGCAAAACGAGATCCCACAGCAAAATATACTAAGCCATGAGGAGCATCACTTTCACGGACTGTTATAAAAGCAAATCTGGAACTGCTGTTCAATGCAGCTCCTGTGCTTACAGCATACAGTTCAACAAAAAAATATGTTTCAAATTCAGGTACCTGTAAATGAGGGATGATTTTCATATCACTATAAGACCTACTAATTAGTTTCGGCTTTTAAAAATGTATATATTATTTTGTATGCGCAGTAGATTACTCGTACTAACACTTACCACAAGCAAGCTTCCTGAAATGTGCAATAAGTACAATGAAGTATACGCTAAAAATAATATTACAACAGGCACCACTCTGTCATGTACAATATTGAAATCTCAGGTTTTCACATGGAACTTACTGCAATAAAGTAGCTATTTATATACTACATGTATTGTGGCTGTAAATCTGCCATGATACATGACAGTAAACTCTCCAAGAGTTCCATATTCCAGATTATGGATTTACATAGATTGACATCTTGTGAGGAATTTGCTATTTCATTTTCTTTTTGCCTTACAAAAAGGCATGTACACACCTACTCACCTGTGGAAAAACTGCACAGAAGTCTAAGTATGCAGTTTTGAAACTGCAATTTATTAACTTGACTGTATTCAAGTATTGAACTCAAGTAAAGTTCTGAAAAACATTTTACATACAGCCTTAGTGTTTAAACACTAACATGTTTATGCAAGTTTTTACAAGCAAATCTCAGTAGACTTGAACACTTAACTGAATTTATCGAAAATCCCAAAGCCTAGAGATACTATCTGATAGACTTTTGTGAGGTTTAAGATACAGAGAAATCTTCTGTCAGTCTGGAAATACAGGCTGTTGAATTTTAGTGTTCATATCTCAAAGAATTAGCCTAGTCAATTCTCCATTCTCAATGCCTGTTTATTGAAAATAAGGTAGCAATATTAAATTACAATATGACATGCTGCCTCATCTTTGATTTCGTACCTACAATACAAATATAGCATGTTTAGAAATAGACATCTGATTACTAAGATTCCAGAAATAATTGGAAATATATTATTTGTACCTATTACATTCACTTGTGAAGCAGCAAACTTGCAAAAAAAGTAGTTCTTTACAAGACAATAGAATTTAAAAAAAAAAATTATCATCACTGAAGACAATTTTTTTATTAGTAAACATAGTTTTTTGTTTCAGCTCTGGATTTTTGGAAATCCTACTTTAATTCTAGGAAAGCAGGATTCAGCTCTTAGCTAATGAAGTCAGTATAGCTGACTAAGTAAAAACTTTCAAAAGCTAGAATACGTCATACCGTATGCCATAAAAATGTAAAATATTTATTGAATGTATTTATTACTTCATAATTTCATAATGTATTTGTTACTAATTTATAAGCTACCTTATGGAAGAAGAACTGGAAGAAGAATTAAGAAATATTTGGGGGGTTAATAGCATATATTTTTAATTGAGTTGTTGTTAAGTAATTCTTTAAATGGAATGATCTTGACGAATTGATGACAAGCACAAATTTACTGGAATGCCATAGGGAACTTTAGCCTTCAGTTAGCACCTGTTAGAGTGGCACACGCTTGTGCTTCATGTGGTACAGCTGCATGTCTCTGCAGCTGCTGCACTGCTATCATTAAATAATGATATCACTCCTGTGGACTAAACAGGCTCAAAATCCCAGTGTACTCAGCGAGGCAGCCTCTGCCCCACTCATGTATATATTTTGTTCATTGGCTCTGTAATGGAAAAATAACATCTGAAGATGAAGAAGGAAAATGGCCCTCTTACTGAACTAAGGGAATGCACCCTATTCCCTAGTGGGAAATCACTACTTCCCACATCCTGCAATCTTGCATTATTTTCTAGAATGTAGTCAGAAAAAACACGGAAACCTTCTCATCTTGTCCATTTCCATTCCCCAGACCCCAGCTTTGCCACCAGCCTGGCTGTTAGGGTAATTTCTTAGAAAGTTTCAAACTCTCCACTCTGAAAGAATGACAAACATTAATCCTTCCTTTCTTAAGTGACTACTCTAACCAAATATTTTTGTGTTCACACAATTTCCTTTTCTCTTCGGTAAAAATGACTGAATGCTGTGCTTTGTGTTAATTCAATGACGTCTGCATTTTTGAGTGCCAGCTGGGCCTCTCAAGGCTCTTAGGCTTAGGCATACCCAACCAACAAATGCCAAATGGCTTTAGTGGATGATGGCTGCTAAATTGAACTTCGGTACTCACAGGCTGGATGTGCACAGCAACAGATTTTTAAACACTTGGAGATTCTTATGCAGCTTTACGATTGAGTAGAGTTTTCACAGATCGTTGTGCTAGATTTAGGCATGTAAAATTATGCACAAGTTGCAATAGTAATTTTTTTGTTGAATGAGATGTTATTACTTACAGGATATGCTTTCCATAAACCACCCTAAGAAGTGATTTGGTAGATGAAAGATTTACTGTGTGAAGGATAAGAGTCCAGTATATGAATGAATACGCGTCTCACTGAAATAACAACTCCATTCTTTTTCTCTTATTGTTCTATAAAAATCTGAGACCTGCAATTTACTTTTCAAACTAAATCCTCATCTCCTTCCCGAATTTTTACCAGTCACAATGGAGGTAGTACAAGCCTGTAAATAAACATGTGTTTGCAGAGGAACTGAGCAGATGTCAAGTTACCATCTTCAAATTGTGTCCTACACATCAGTTCCTCTGGATCAGAGGGGTTTTTTCATCGTGATAAATTGCAATTCAACATCACAGTGCTGTACGTAAATGAGCAATAATTACTTACATTATCAGGTTTTATTTCAATGGAGATGTTGCATATTGTTTGACCTGCCATGCAGGTAGTGGCTCCCAGCACAGATACAAGTTCATTCTCCAAGTTCATGCCATCCTTCAGAAGGACAACGGCTGTTTTATTAAAGGTCACACGCCAAAAGATCTTCACATCTTCAAAAGCCCTATAAGAAAATCAGAAGAGTATACATGTACTGAAGGAGAGCACTATCGCTATAAACAACAGAGGTAACATACATTTTTTGTTAATATTCTAAACTTATCACCAGGGAATCAACTGCCTTGAGATGAAAAATTCTCTTTATACTTAAATTCCTTCCTCTAAAACCTGTTTAGATAACCAAAAAGTAACACAGGAAGAAAATAAAGCAATTATGGGAACCCTGATTCTACTCAATTTTTGTTTCAGAAAACATGAGATTAGCTGAATAGTGCTTTGAAGACAGGGATGTGGCCAAGTACTTTCCTTAATACTATAGTAACCGCTAGTATAGTAAAGCCAGGCAGAATTTGGATTTCCTATAAGTCTGTGGAACTTTGAGTGCTTGAGCATATTTGTTTAAAGTACACATAAATGCGCAATGTGTATATGTGTTAATTAGAAAAAACACAGTGTCTGCATGAGTGAAGACATAAGCATAGTGCTGACACTAGGTATCTTCTTAATTTCTCATTTTAGTATCCACACCTGCTTATATTACACAGGGAGATGAGAATTTGAATTACACCTTTAGCAGTGTAAATACTTTACCTTAAGCAAAACTTTCATACTTGCTGCCTTATGGCATAAGCTGGAAAATATCTGTTTTTTCCGTTTCTGCTTTATAACAGTACAGTGACAGACCTAATCACATTCACAACTTAAAAGCCCATTTGCCAAGTTCTGGGAAGTTATTAAAGGAGCTGAAAGGCAAAGATTTATTATAAAACTCTGTGATAACTTCTTCCACTAACAGCAGCTTCTGTGATTCAACACAGCATATTACAGCATGTGGGAAGAGCACTCGAATCAGCTGTTGCCTGCACCTGTTTGGTTGCCTTGCAACAATCAGCAGCACCTCTCTGTTTTCTGCGTCTTCATCAAGTACAAGACCACTTTGTACTTCTGGAATGAATCCCAAAATGCCATTCTGGAGATCACTTCCTATATAGGAAACAGTCCGTGAAAGTAATTAGCAAGAAAGTTAAGCTGAGACTAAACTATAATTTCAATATGGATAACTGCTAAAAAAATATTAAAAATAGGTATCAAAAGCATGCTGCAAAGTACCACTTGGGGACGCCTCAAGAAAATTTAATATTTGTATTCTTAATTTACACTCCATATCTATCTAGAACTTAAAATGTTAGCATTTCTAAATTTTATTTTAACCAGTAGAATACTTTTGAAAGTAAATTCCTTAGAGAGTCCTGGCACCATCTATGCACATAAGCTTGTACTTTCAGCAGCATTCAGCAAACTGACTGAATTCTGTGTCCCTTGACTTCAAGAGACTAGGTGTTACAGTAGTCCAGAACAGTGTCAAAAGCCTTGTTTATAATGCCCTTATGAGATACCACTTCAGCTATATTATTTTACGTTTACCATAACCTTCAAAACATATTCTTTCTAAACAGAAATGGGCCTCAGCGTGCCCGTAGATGGGCAGCATTGCCATAGCTGGTTATGGGATAAAGATGGGCTTCCAAGGACATGGCTGTAGCTTTCTTATTCATCCCACCCACAATGTTGTTGAACCCACTCATTTTCCCAAATTGTTACACCAGCTTTCCTCCTGCATCTTTAATTCAGTGTGTAGAACTAGGGAGCTGCAAAATACTGCATTGTTCTCATGGGAATGTAAATAACTTCAGCAAAACAGCAGTGGAGGAAAAAAAAAATAGGGTTAATGAGGGGAAACTAATGTCTTCACAGTATCCCATTATATCTTGCTTCTAAAGGATTTCTCCTTACAGGTAGTGATGGCTTTACTCTGCAATTGAAAATGCAATCTATTTCCAACACAGTGCTTATTAAATGTCTGTATATATACTGAAGATTAACAGAAACCGCATGTTTGCTTATGCACGTGCACAAGTATTTAACTTGCGGTATCTTTCTATCTATGCAGATACATGCTTTGACCCTTAACATGCTTTGACCCTTAACATAAGTTCTCTCCTGACTTTATGTACTCATTGTACTCAGGGTGTAACTCTAGAACATGTTAATACACTTCTGTGGGATTCAATACAAGTTCAAATTCCAACCTGTGCCTATGCACATACTTAACCTAAGGGTTAACTTGCACATACGGGCAACTGGTTACGTGCACGGTGAATTCTAGAGACGGTGCACATGAAGGGAACATGTGTTTCATACGATCTGTTCTTGCGTATATAATGTTGGTTGCTCCATACACTCATCCAACAGCACAGTTTAATCCTGGTTCCTAATATCTACCTTGTATTGTTAAGACTATCTAAATGCACCAAACTTCCAGTAAATGTTAGACCTTACATACAATTTTCTTGATTAGCCTAAACTGTTTCAGTTCCCAACTTGTTTCTAAAACTCAATCTATATTGCAGTTAAACTTGGTTTATATTCAACTGATAAATCTGATAGATATCTAAAAGCTAAGGGAAACTGGAGCTCTGACATCACTTTCTCACAGTAGTGTGTGGTAACTGAAAGAAAAATTCCTCCCTGATGCCTATGTAAGCCCATTCCTATCCTCCCTCCCCAGAATCAGAGGATGACTAAACTGTAGATATGAATTGCATAGTATCAAAGAATGAAAACAGAAACTGTTTTTTATACTTTGTAGAAACGCCATACACTGTAAGTGTATGGCAAAGAAAAACAAAAAAGCCTGCACTGCTACTACACATGAAAGAAAAACACTCAAGCTTAGCCTTTCCCTTCATGAAGTAAAACAGGACAAGAACAGAGATAAGCAGCATCTCTAAATGTATTTTGAGCTACATTGCTAAAGGATGCATGGTGGGCTTGGTGCACTAGGTGCTTTCTCTGATCTGGAAAACTCAAGATTTGGGAATAGAATACCCTGCTTATTATCAAATAGAATTCCAATCTTTATACAAAAATTGCTACGAGAACATAGAGTTATTTACTGTTATTTAATTCAAATGTATTTACTAATTTTCTGAGGGAAAAAATACTACCTGCAATAATTACTGTTGCAAAAGCAGCAAATCCATATTCATCCTTTCCTTCCACAATCTGAGCTCCACATTCAGGATCTGAGAGGAAAACGTAAAACAATTCCTGTCCTTCAGGCTCATCATCATCAAAAATTTTTATGGACAACTTGCTTTCTCTTTCTCCGTCCAGCAAAGTCAGAGAGACTGACTGTTCCTCAAAATCTTCTCCTTCCATTGCCCATGTGAAGTTCGATTTTCCATAAACATTTCCAAAAGGATATGAAACTACGCCACTCTGTGCACTCACTCCCCCAAAGGTTTTAACAGTTACTTCAATATCACCAGTAAAACCCTTGGTCCTTCTGATATGAAGTATCACTGTGTTGGGGGTACTGTTGTTTGCATCTTCTTCAACATAAATAAACTCTGGCCCCAAACTTAGTATTCCATGAAGAATATCATTAGCCAAGATATTAACTGTTGCAACACTGAAAGCTGGATTCAGACGTGGACTCCAGTCAGGATTCACAGGTTGAACATCCAAAATTTCCACAGCAGTCAAATTTACAAAAAATAATTCCTCCATTTCAGACACAGTGTCATCAATTATTGATATTTCTATCACAGCATTTATCTGAAAACGTAAAAACATAAGCTCTCCATTGTAGATGGGTATAAAGTCCTCTAGTGGTTTGGCACTTCCTGGAATGGTCTGATACGTCAATTTAGTGAGATTACTTTGAAAACCAAACAATCTTTGGACATGTAGTGTGACTGCCTGAACACCTTCTTCAACTGAAACAGATCTTGAGTTAAGAGCAAACTGGAAGATCCCCATTGGCTCAATTTCAGCTATCCTAAATCCTGACCTGAAACAGAAAAGATATCAAAGCAGAGTGAGGAAGTATGAAATATGAAAAGTAAAACACCCAAGCAGAATAAGTTCCAGTGAACAGTCAATGATGGCTGTAAGGAAGTGGGTAAAATAATGCGTAAGAGCAGAGGGAAGAAATAGCAACCATACAAGGCAAGATGTAAAGAGCTTCCCTGAAAAATGTTTTTGGAATGATTGAACAGCCCTCCACAGGCTTAATGCATCCTGAGTTAGCACAGGATACAGAGTAAAGGATAAATAAAATAAGGTCTTCCTGAGAAAATGAAGAGGCAAAGGAAAGTATGATGTCTTCCTGCTGTGGACACAGTGCAGGGAGATATATTACAATACAGTCACTCAGAGTAATACCAGTTTTAACCGTCAAACAAACTTCCTGTACCAAGGGAAAACTGTGGAGCAGATGGATGCCAGCAGATCTACAGTTTTAGCCAGGAAGCTAGAGAAGGAAGAAAGTTATTTTAAAACTTACACTGGGGCTTTGAAATACTAACTGTCCCCTCACAATATTACTCACAGCAATTTTTTCCAGATCTGAGCCCTATTATCAATATCAATTTAAGCTCTACTATGTTCATATTAAATATATCCCTTTCTTATTAGAAAATAAGCATAGAGACTAAGACTTTTTGCTAAGCTTTGGGGCTTACACTTATCCCTATATCTGACCCATTATTCAGTGCTAGAGGCTACCAGATGGCACTACCATTACAGTGAGCAATTTAAGTTAACAAACTAGACCCTTTCCAAGGCTAAGAGAGTCAAAAACTCTTCAAAGTAATTGTCAGCTTTACCCACTGTGGGATGTAGTCTTAAGTTTTCTAGGAAAGGTCATCCTCGTACACTCAAGGTATTTGACTCGCACGGTAAATAGGTGCTCTGAGGACACCAGTCCACACAGGACAGACAAGCCTGGGAGAAGGGGTCAGTCTCAGGATTTTAGCCCACCCAGTTCATTCCTTACTTCCTTCAGATTTGCCAGTGTAATTGTAATACAGTGAAGCCAATACCTTTCTCCATACACAGTGTTACTCTATGTCCATTCTTTTTATAGCACTTTTAGCTATCAATGAGTAAGGAAGAATGAAAAGAAAATAGTTGAGATGGAAAACTACATTAAATGTAATGTTTTTGGTTTTAAGAATAAAAAGGGTTTTTTATAGAAATTAGGTATTTTTGGAGCATTTCTTGTTTCATTTTATTTATTTTAAATAATGTTTGTTAGCTACGATCTTCTAAATATGGATTTTTAGGGACACTAATGAAAACTGTTAGAGTTGCTTTCGTTCTTCAGCTTCCTGGCTAAAACTGTTGATCTTGGTTTTTCATTTTCTTGTCTCCATCGTTCTAGATACATTCTAGGCACCTTGGATCCCAGTAATGTGAAATAGACTGGAATTGGAGAAAAGCCTCAGTTCTGATCAGGTCAGATCTGCAGTACTGACACTTGTTTCCATCTAAGACGACACACAAATTTATCAAAGAAGGCACTACAACTTGCTAGCTACCTGTAATTTAATAGCGATTTGTATGAGGTGTATGCCTGTACACAGGTCATAATTCTTACAGCATCCGTATGACTCAAAAGTATAAGTAATATCCTTACCTCAGGCGAGCCCCACCAGACACATTGCTGTGCACTGCTGTTAAAGTGATGGCAAATGACTCATGTTTATTTAGGCTTGGAGTAGCCTGAAATGAAATTACTTTACTTTGCTCACCAGAGGAAAATACAACAGTACCTGAAGGAAAAGAGAGAGTGAGAGAGAGCACAAGTCAAAACCACTAAATAGGAATCCTCTTCTTACTTGGGAACGTGCTGAGACAGGGATGGTAATCACAATCCCACTCCATTTAGGAAGAAGAAATCTGCATGATAAGGTCTTTCCTATATAAAGCTGTCCTCCAGGGGCATGGCATCGTGCTTACCTCCCAGACATGCATCTATGAAGCTTAGTTCTTTTTTTGCTCATAAAATAAATATATCCTTTACAGATAAAAATTAGACCATACAATTTCATTCTAATGAATCTTCATTAATAGCGGAAGCATGTAGAGGTATAAACAGCTAAAAAGCGGTATCATCACTTATGCAACTTTCACAGCTGTTTCCTCAGACAAGTACTTACCAAATGGAGGAGTAATATTGCCTGGCTGAGCAAAGTCAGTGATTAGGTCTGGTGGGTATCCTGAAATCCAGCTAACTATTACAGAGCCATAAACTCCTTTTCTGGTTACGACAGCCTGGCCTGTCCCTGCTACAATGTCTGTAAGTCGTACAATCACAGATTCAAAGCCAACCTGTGGAAACACAGTAGATTTTGTTATAGAAAATGGAATAAAAATGGGCAATAATGTATGTGAAAGCACACTGTATTTTGTAAAACAGGCATTTTACAATAATTATGCATGCATATAGATGTATGTATGTATGTGTGTGTGGATATATATACATACTTCCTTCACAACTCTTCAATAATACTTCTAAATCTTAGATTTCTGAGAATTGGATCTCAGGGAAAAGGAACCATTATGACTGACATTTCAGTACTGAAAACACTGAATATAGCATTCTGTGTCTGTTGTTTAAAAGAAGAACAAACCAACCTGTCCTTAATGCTCACAGGCAATAGCTGTAGTACTATATATATACACATAGGTCTAAAATAAATTATTACTTGTGTATCCAGTGAAAAGTAAGTTGTTGCCACATGACATCGTTCACAAAATTATTCTTGCTAGCATGATCTACTTTTCTTTTTCTTTGAGCAGCAAATGGAACTGAGGATAATTCACACATTCTAAAAGCAGTGATAAATGGATATATGCTAGTAAACAATGTTTACAGAAAGGCCATATAAGTTCAATTACAAATTAAAAGACAGAACAGTGCTTCAAGACAATTAAAATCATTAAATAAAAACTTCAATAAAATGTAAGAGCGAAAAATTCAGCATGCTATTGCCTTTGCCTGACATACCAAAAGGGAACCGTAGCGCATACACCATATCAGAATAAGCAAATTCTCTTTTCTCACTCTCATACAAAGTAGACAAATGGAAAAATTCCCACTCAGTGATTAGCCAAATATACTGCCAAGTGCATTAAAACCCAGCATGACCTCCATCTCTTTTTGCACGTAACACTGCATACGTGCTGTTACCTACTTTGGGGTTGCTATACTGAAAGGAATAACATTGTCCAGAATTAGTTATTTTCCTTTAAGTCTCAGAACTTCCATTTCATGTAAAGAAAAGTATAAATTAACCATAATATTTACACTATTTACATTTTATAGATGAAGAAACATTTTGAGTCTGTATTAACACATTTCTATGAGAATTTGTATCAGAGAAAAGATAATATACAGTACAAGTAATAACTGGGAAAGTCTTGTCAGTCATTAAATTGGTTGCAATGATGAAAACTTCAAGGAGCCAACTGAGTTTTTATAGCAGCTATCTTTTGTAATGAAGTGTCACCTTCCTTCTGCGGTAGAAATGTTACACTGCAGCCAGTCTACTGACCTGTGAATTGGCAGCTTCCTCAGGAATAAGCAGAACAGCTGACTTTGCTTTTCCTAATATTTTAGGCACATCCTTGGCACTTCCCCTAACCAGGCTTACATTAATCAGTTCCAGAGTAAAATTCAAGCCCAGTAAAACAAATGCCTTTGAGAGAGAGAATTTAATTAAAAAGGTAGAAATTTAATTCCACTAAAAACATTACATCCACCAGTTCAAAGAAATAAGTAGCAGAACAATCTGCAGATTTTGTTCTACTTGCATACAAAAAGCGATGTTTTCAAGACAAGTGTTTTGTTTTTTATGTTTCTCAAAAGAAATACAGCTACAACATCAATATTGTGAATGTGATTTACCAGCAGTTTGTTGGAATGTGAGTTTGTAGAGCAACTATTGCCATTTTAATAAATTGTATCTAACACAGTGGGCCTCAAATCGATTTTAATCCTTAGGATTAAAACAACGTAAAATGGATGTAAAAGGATGTAAGTGTGGATATAAGACTGTAATAATAATAACAACCACCAACTAGGGAACACAGAGAACTGAAGGTAAATTTATCTGCTGTTTCATGAGTCAGCACTAACAGATCACCTTTTACAATCCAAAAGGGAAACTTGAGAAAATATTTGCATACATATAATAACAAAATATTGAACTGATAGTTCAATGACGAACAGAGCAATGACGGAAGGAAAAACTGAATATTTGAACACGTGCATAGCAGTGATTTTGCAATTATTATCCGAAAATGTGATATTTAAACCCATTTCTACTCCATAAATAGGAAATTGACAATACTAAAACTGTCTTTTCTGTGGCTACTTCTTCACAGTGGCTACTATTGAGAGTTTAGTATCTTATCCTAACACATTTGTATTGTGATGAACACAAATGCAAACAATAGATATCATAGGAACTAAAAGGATAATACAGACCTGGCTGCTTATTGGCACTCTTTTCACTCCAAAGCTGGCACCATCTTTTACTGTGAGGTATCCCACCTCATTCTGAGGTGCAATTAGCGCTTCTTCATGATGAGACAAGATACGGTACTCAACGATCACTTGTCCAAATGCCCCAGCATGCCGAGTTACATTAATCTGAATATACCGATCCAGGTTTCTCTCTACTAATACTGACTGCTGATCAGAGTACAGGGCAAACACTCCATAGGGATCATCATTTGCAAAAACATTGATCTTTGAAATTCTTTTCTCTTGGTCTAAATCTGCTCCACCTTCTACTGAAATCAGCTGTACCATATAGTTTTCATCCAGTTCTGGAACATCATCAGGTAGCAGGTAGATAATTATCTCAGCTGTACTCTGCTGGTCAGCAATGACAACAGACCCCTCTGTCCTAAGAAAGTCACCTGTGATGTCAGATTCACTACGTATTTCCCAGTAAACCTGAAATGAGTTCAGAAAATGCACAAAACAAAAGAAAGCGGAGTTACGCACAGAGTCAGAAACTTTCATATTCAGGATTCGGTGTAGATAGGATATGGAACAGATTGGTTTTAAGTAGGCAAAATAGAAATTGTTTAGGTATGCATAGAAAGAGGCACACAAACTATCTTACAAAAGGAGGGTGTGTTGTTCCTCTAACAGTACTATGAATGTAAAGATTTCCTTTGTATATCTTCAGAAGATTTATTTAAAAATATATGGAATCTCTGAGACATTTAAAAAAATTATTTCTGTTTTTACACCAAGGCATCCTTGCTGCTTTTCCTCTTTCCAAGATTCCTCATGTCAGAAAGGGGTGAAGAATTCTCATTAAACACAGCAGATGCTTTTATTAATTGATTTTTTTAATTTAAACAACTGTTAAAATGCTGACTTCTAAACAACTTTAGGTAAAAAAATAATGTAAATGATGGTTCAAAATAGTCTGATTCTTACCTTTAAGTATGCCTGGAAAAAAGCAAATTGTGATGATCTCAGAGAAAGCTCACAATGTAAATATGCTCTGTCCTGTTCTCCCATCAAAAGCACAGGGGGAGAGGGAGAGAGAAAGAGAAGCACTGTGGTACTGTTTTTCCCATTTTTCCCTGACCAGAGGAGACTGAATCTGACTCTCCAAACCACAAGTACTAGGGATGAGCCCTTGCTAAATTCAGTCTAAAAGGCAACATTTCAAAAATGAATTTGAGAAACAAGCAATTGAAAGGCTCAGAAAAAAATATTCCTCCATACGTTGATACTGGGGATGATTTCAGATTATACTGTTTATTAGGAAAAGAGTGGGAATACCGTTATGTTTCCCAGAGTGCCTTGAATTCGTCTGACAAACAGTGTAATACTTTGTGGCCCTTCCACTGCTGAGGGTTCTGTATAGTTATTCTCAGTTAATGATTCAGGAGCAAACTGTACAATTCCATTGGGATCACCAAACTTCTGTATCTGTAAAAAAATCAGAAATGTAGAGTGTGTTGTATTCTTGTTCAAATCATTGAGATTTTCATTGCTAGATGCTACAGGGCACATATCTATTAGTTCTTCCCGCCGAGTTTTCTCCTCTGAAGAAGATTCAACAGTACATTAGTAGTTAGAACTGAGACTGAGAGAACAAAAAAAACAACCCAGCAGACAGTACCATCAAGGTATAAGAAGGGAGCAATATCAAGCCCATGTGCACAAATACACACAAACGCACAAAAAGCAAGACTGTTACATGCAATCTATGGGTAACTTGCTCTTTTGTGAGAAAATACCTGCAATGATATATAAATAAGGTTAAGCAGGATCTAAATTGAACAGGAGTCAAAATATGATGTTGCCAATAAATATGGAAAGTTTTCAGGCTTGGATTAATAAAAGCATTATATGTAAACAAATTCAAGCAATGACAATGATTTTGTTCACGAAGTTGAGCCTCATTCAGCTTTCAACAACTTGTAAATTATAAATGATCTAAACACATTTCAGAGAGTGAAGTAATTTCGAAAGGATTTAGAAAACATATCCCATGGATACAAGATACTCAGAGACAGCAGGGAAAGTATGAATGTCCCCTTTTCAGATTTTCAGCACTATCCAAGGAAGAAAAGGACTGAGTTTTATTTCGAATGCTCTGTCTGAATATTCTGCTATTAGAGCAGGAAATGCTCAGGCACCTTGGGCTAGTGTACAGAAACTCTTCTAACGTTATCAGTTTGCAAACTCATCCCTCTGGGATAGAGCTTATCCACATCCACCTGCGTGAATCACTAGCTGCAGCAAGAATTCGTGGTGAACTGACTTACAACTGAGTTGTAACACCAGTGCCTACTGAGAAGCCAATTCATTGGCGTGCGGGGTGGAACATTCCAGTCCAAGGAATAAACCTGGGGCCCTGAAGGAGAAATTGAGGAATCTGTAGAAATAGGAGCTAATTTCATCAACACTGTACAGACCAGGAAAAAAGTAAAAATCCAGTTTCTTGCAAAGATTTATTTTTTTGCGGGCTTCTTAAAACAACCTTATAAATATTTCCTTAGTTGCAGTATCCCTAGAGCAATAATTTGTCTTGACAACTCTCTCTGCCTTCCACAAATTTCTGCATTTCTCCTGCTCTGCAATAGTCAGATTCTCTCCTTTCTTTTACATATGATAGCTGGAGCAGAAGAGGAGGTCAAGAAGGGATGAACAACAAATTGACATTTAGAAACGAGGACCCAATCCATGATCTCTCCAAAGAGAAGCACAGAAATCTGCAAATAAGAGGGCCAGGTCAGGGCTTATATACCAATTTTTACTGACAGATTCTTTGCCTTCGTTTTTTAAGAAGTGAAGCTGTAACAATGCACCTAAGTACTACAAGGAACAAAAAAGCCAAATGACAAACTATGCAATAGTTATTGATTTTTAAAAGCTTTGCAGGATAAATACTAAAATCAACAGAGATCTCAGAAGAAAGAAAAGCAATAATGACTTACTACTAGTGTAACGTTGTTTGCCTTAGGATCTATTTCTGTTTCACCTTCCATAAGACTCAGTCTAATAATGAAGATCTCCTGAACTTCAGCTTCTTCGTGAGGATAGATCTGTAGATTAATAGCTCTCAGACCTCCTTCTCCTTCTCCAAAATAGAATGATCCATTCACAGGGTCACCAATGTCACTATTCAGGGGAGATAAAATCTCTTCTGAATTGGGCCCCAAGATGTCCCAATTAATCTGTGGAAGATATCAGTTTCAGATTTAGAGTGGTGATATATTATAATAGCCTCCCAGAGGGAGAATGACAGAGTACCACAAGTGACATAAAAATTCTTGTATCTGGTAACTAGCTATGTTTAAATCTTTGCTGTTAATACAGAATACAAAATATTCATAATTAATTCTATGTGGGGAAAATACATAATCCTTTGGAAAAATAAACATGACAAATTACAAATGAAAATTTTGAAGTGTCAGTTAGCCACAATGCCAGTTTATGAAATTCTAGATATTAGTAATAGAAAAGAAGAGAAACTGAGATTTCTTTAGCACGTAACAGGAAACACACAAGCCAGTTTCTATTTCTCTCCCTTTCATGATTTGTTTTGCGAAGCTCCCCAAATGAGTACTTATGACCAAAACCATTCCTTGTGAAGTGTGATATCAAGACGGAAAATGACAAATATTTTCTTAGGAGTCTGCAATAAAGGTTAAAAACTAGAATATTTTAAAAATTTCCCACAAATTAGATTGCTTTTGAGGAGGTCATACTCAGCACTTTGAAATTATTATTTTCACCATTTTAATTGTCTTCCAGTTTTCTCAAATGACTTCTAGAAAAAGTCAAAGACAACCAAGGCAATTTTTATATGAGGGGAGGAGGAGCCTTTACTGCCAATCTTCCAGTTATTTGCCAAGACTGTGAAAGGCCCGCCTTGTTCATATTTATACCTTCAGTGGTATGTACAGTTAAAAAAAAAAAAAAAAAATCTAGAAAACTCATAGTAAACAATTTACTGAGAAAAGTTTGACCAGCTTTAGGAAGAAATTAAACTGAATTAAATTAAATTACTGGTGGTGCATTAAATTAACCATATTTTCAATGGAATTAGGAGCTAGTTCAAAAGAAAGTACACAAGGCCATAATAAAAGAAAGAAATCAGGAGAAGGAGACGATTAAAAGGGTAACAACATTTTCTGGTATACTGCAACTATATGTAATTTGTGTTTAATAAAAAGCTGCAATTATCCTATTAGAAATCAGTCACAAAGAAGCTCTTGAAGGAAAATGCAGGAGATTTTTGACCTAGTCACTGGAAAGCATTCAGTCTTTGACAGCCATGGCCCACCTGTGTCTCCCCTAACAATCTCCCAGTCCTTTCCAGCACTAGGGACACTGCCGTGGGTGTATCAGGATTAGGAAGAATAATTCGACTTTGGTTGAGAAACCGGATGATGCCCTGGGGGGAGTCACTTTTAGCAATAGTGACCTGGCTCACTAGGTGGAGCCCAAGGACTGCTCCACCAGTGGCTCCTGTCAGCTGGATTTCAAATTGCTCTGCAAATTCACTGCATGGAAAAAGAAAAAGAGATTCTGAGATATCTGAGAAAAAAAATCATTAAAACTATACTTAGTAATGCAATCATGCATCCAACCGAATCTGTTTGAAGGTATACAGAAGTCATCTCTCTAAGCATACAAGAGAAGATTCCTCCGATTTGCATAGAATGGTGATACCTGAAATAAACATAATGTTCTATTTTCTACTTGTGTTAAACATTAAAAAAAACAAAACACGGCAAAGTATTTTATTATTCACTGCAGTACTACTAACACCCAAAATTTCTGATAATCTAATAAAAAAACCCCTATTTGTTCACATAAAATTTATCAGGAACTATGAAACTCTAATAGCAGCTTCTTTTTTCCCCCTTTAAATTTAGGTGATTTTTCAGCACTGCAGAAATTAATTTTTCAATTCCAATTCTACACACAGGCATACCGCACATGCTAAAAAAGGATTTCTCAGAAGTAAATTAGTGAATAAATATCTGAAAAATTAATTACCTTTCTTCATCATCTATAATAGAGATATAAATAAAAGTCTGGTTCTGGCCATGATAAAAAATGACAGAATTATTATGGATGACATAGTCAACACCATTGGGAAGTGCAGAAATACTTCGAGAAAGAAAATCAGCAGTTACATAGCCATAAGTTCCACGTTTTCTCACAACAGGAATCATGATTAATCCAGCATCCTCTTCCACTGCAAGAATAATTGAGAAAAAGTTATTTTATTTCAAAATTTATGGCATAGCCACAGACTTATCTTCTAAACCGCAATGAAAACTTAAGGTAAACTTACCCTGTAGAAGGATATACTGTGGATCAAATTCTATGATGCCTTCTGCGTTATCACTTTTTGCTATAGTGACTCGTACTGTGGAGATATTTCCTATTATTGGAGGTTGATCCATCTGTAGACCATTTTCTTTCACAGTAAAATCAAATCCACTTTCAAGAACATAAAAAAGAAAATTACATAAAAATTTATTGTGAAAGTATTAAGATGCAGGTATGACGATTTGGCAATTACCACAAATACTTCTATTTTCTGACAGTTACCACTGAAGACTTTTTGCTCACGCTTTTTCAAACTATTATATATGCAAAATTAGTAGTTTATTCACAGAAATGTGTATATTTCATTTTTTTAATTTCTCATTTTATCTTCTTATTTGAATTTCATACAACTTGACAACTTGTATGTAATGTATAGACTTTTAGTTTTAATAAATCTTAATCAGGAAAATCTTTATACTAATGTTAAAAGAATGGGGTTCCCCATACATCCAATTTCTGTTATGATTACTATTATAGCTGTCTGATGAAATTTTACAGTAAAATAGCTGAAATCCAGTGGAGACTTTATGCAGGTAGATCAGATTCCAAATATAGTTTGCTCTTCTGCTTGTAATCAATCAACTGGGAATTTTATCTTTACCTTCCTTGCAGTTCCACTTTGGTAATCATCACTGAAAAGTCTTCAGGACCTTCAGGAAAGTCATCATCATGAATTTCAACCAAAATCATTTTATTCTCCTCATGTGGTTCAAACAACAATTCCCTTACTGTGGGAGTGAAATCAATTGCCTCCTCTGCAGTCCCATTTATTATCTGAAAGCAAAGATGCACTTTGCCATAGG